CCTATAATTCCAGATACCCAGGTGTTGGAGGCAGGAGGATAGTAACTTAGCAAGACACTGGATGTAGCTGTGGTAGAGTTCCCCTGAATTCAATGCCCAGCACCACAATTACTCTTTAACTAAACAAGTTTAACATATATCCCTGTCAACAAAAACCAAAGAGTCCTAAAATGAAAGTCAAATGATCACAACTATTTTTTTACTCATGAATCTTAGCCCCAGGAGTAACCCAACTATAGATTTGTTTTAAAAGACTTTTTTTCTCCCTAATGTCCTCCCTCTAAAAACAATCACTCTAACAGCAACAACAACAACAACAACAAAGACTGATTCTAGTGTTTGGCATATGGCAACAGTGTAACTCACTAGTTTGCAAACACTTACTGATAATATTGGTTCCAATCTGCAAGGGATACATTCTAAAACCCACAGTGGATGCCTGAAATCCTTGATGATAATAAACCCTATATATAGTATGTTTTCTGTATATGATACATACTTATTATAAAATTTAATTTATAAATTAGACACAGAGATTTAATAATAGCAACTGATAATAAAATAGGACAATTATAACAATATACGATAACAAAAGTGTTGCTTTTACCTTTTTACTTCAAGGAARCACATTATTGCTTTTCTAGCATATCTTAATCACCAAAATCACTCAAAATTTATGCATTAGCTCATTAAAAATGTACATAGTGAAGACCTGACATTTTTTGGTTCATTTTTTAAAAGGGACTATATCTTTTATAAGGATCTATCATAACACTTGTCTTTGGTTTCTATGATATACAATTATGTCATAAACTCTGGTTTGTCTTTGTATATAAATAAATTAGGAATCAGCAATATAGTATTTCTAACAGAGACAGATGTATATTCCTGGTTATTGTATTCATGGTTCTCTTTTTGGTTTGTGGCTCTATTTTTTTTCTCTCCAAAGTCGATGCCTACTTCCCATAGTTAAACAGCAAACAAATTATTGGCAATAAGTTATAAATACACTAGTCCTCCTTATCTGCTGAGGATATATTCCAAGATACCTAGTGGATGCCTAAAATCTTGGATAACATGCTATAGTACGTTGTGTTTTTCCTGTACATACATACCTATTATAAGGTTTAATTTATAAGTAAGGCACAGTAAGATATTTAGACACAACTAATAATAATAAAATGGGACAATTATAGCAATATGTTATATAGAAGTGTTACTTACACCTTTTCATTTAAAGGAGGCATTTTATGGCTTCTCTTTGGCATATCCAAATTACCAACATCACTATTCTTGTACTTCAAGGTCATTTTTCAAATAAAATAAGGGTTACCTGATCAAAAATTCTGTGATATCATGACAGTTGTGATGGTTCTCAGTGACCAACAAGCAGGTAGCATATATAGTGTGGATATGCAGGACAGATGAATGATGCATGTCCTCACAGGGAGGAATAGAAATACATGAGATTTTATTCTACTATTTTGAGTGGTACACAATTTAAAACATATGCAGGGTTATCATAAACTTTCAATTTATAAAAAATAAAATAAAATTGCAATTTCTAAAAAGCACAAAGTGAGGCACAATCAAACAAGGTATGTCTGTGTAAGTTACTTAGAGATGATTTAAAAGTATACGAGATAAAGGGAATATATTGTAAGCAAATACTATGCCATTTAACATAAGGGATTCAGGCATCCTTGGATTTTGGTATCCATTGGGGTTCCTGAAACCAATCCCCCAGAGTGACTGAGAGACAACTGTATATGCTTTAGGAAATCAATATTTTCCCAGTCCTAAGCAAGTACTGTTTTACTTATGCATATTTAAAAAAGTATGATACAAGGGTGTTGTTTAAATTTAAGCTTCAAATTACTATAATGAAAGTAATTTATTTAAACTATCTTAGCTCTCTACTAACATATGTAGCAGGGATTGGAAATTTAGATAAATAAGTAACACAAAGGCAGCAAAGTTTTTCTGGCAAAAAAGAAATATCTGCCATCTCTATCTTTGGTTCATAAGCTAATAATGAACAATGCTTGAAACATTGAATATTGATGAGACCCAGGAAACCATCTTTGGCATTAGTAACTAAACTATATTGAGACGCTCTGCCTTCAGTGGGAGAGAGACACAAGAACTTATTGGTCTCAAATGTCACTTATGTTCTACGAGTGAGATCTGCAAATTGCCAGCCACAAGTTTACATCTGTTTTATTTGCAAGAGCTACTAAAGGGTGAATTGTTTTTGTGGATTCCTTTACAAACTCTTCTCACAGTTTGGGACATGTTTGCCCTCTCAGATTGCCAGCTCCCTGGCTAATCTGGTGCAAATTTAAAGATGACTATGATAGCAATGTTTCTCTTTAAATAATTTGTAGCTAGAATTGTGTGTCCCTTAGGTAAATATTAGTATGTCCATAGGGATTCCTTGTAAATCATAAAAGAAGAGTATGATTGTTTTTGCAATCCCCACTCTGTGTCCTTAAAAGTAGCTGGTAATTGTGACAAAAGTTAGGACACATTCATGCATAGTATGTATGATTCAGGTATGATAGAATCTATTTTAAGACATCAGCTAGATTTTTGTTCATCCTAGATTAGCTTCAAGGAAAATAATCTTACTAAATAATTTATTAATTCAAAAAGCAGCTAAGCAAGACCACCAACCACATATATAGCTTTTAACATTCTAACTAAAAATGAAATTCAGATTTTTTAATTTATATGTAACAACAAATCTCCACCCCAAATCAAAGTTTGTTTGTTTAAAAAATAACAACAAATGATCATTATTGACACTTGAAATCATTTATTCAAGGCATTTTATATAATATTGCAATCATAGTATAGGCATATAATAAAAGAATATGAGAATGCAAAGAAGAATATAAAGCCAGTGTCTGGGCATTTAAAATAAAAGCTCTTCAAAAAGGTACAAAAGTTTTACAGATAGAATTCCTGAAAAATTTGGGAGAAATTAAAATTTTATTAACAACATTATAATACCAAATGACACTCACTTAGTTCCCAGCAAACAGTTTTATATTAATTGTTTATAACCTGTGAGCTAAGACTTAAAGCATTTTACATTCAAGTTGAAATAAGTCAGCACCATTTTAGCTTGAAGGATAAATGAAATGCTGTTTTCAAAAATGACCCAGTACTTTGGGTGGCTGGGAATGAAATCTAAGTTGTGGGTTGCATGTATTTGATTGTGAATATGAATTTTAAAAATAAAAGATATAGAAAAGGGTACTTTTATCAATATTCTTGTTAGTATCAAAAAAAAGTTATTTTTAAAAGGAAACATATCCTGACCAGGAAATAAATATTTTCATGTTGTCTCTTAAACATTAATTCTCAAGTTCCAGGAAAATTTTAGTGAACTGCTAATATCAAATATTGGGAATGTTTATAAATGTGATTGTCCTATGAGATTCCAAAGAACAAAATAAATGTTATTACAAATAATGCCTAGTGAATAATTAGATAGAAATTGTAAATAAAATTATAGTATAAAAATATAAAGATTTTCTGGAAATAGGCAAGTTGAATATTCATATATGTTATGGCACTGTTGGGAGACTGACTCTTCACCTCAAAGGCCAAGACATCTTTAAGACAGATGTGGTCTGAATAATTATGAGAGCACTTAATAATATACGTCAGATAGTAGACTCACTAAATTATTTTCCATTTTTCACAGGCTTTATTTCTGTAAAATCTAGTCTCTTCTCAGTATTCAACATTCTTTATATCATTTCTACTTCCTTTCTGTAAAAAATTTAGAGTTTAATAATAGATTGATAATTGTTACCAGCTAGTCATTATCTGTGAGTATTGATGGTTATTCAGAGACAAGACCCCATGAGGTTAAAAAATATTGTGTGTTAAATCAAAACTTATCATTTATATGTAAGTGTTGAGGGATGATGGAAAGGGGAGAAATGTTCACATGAGGAAGAAGCAAGAATCTTTAGTTTCTTAATTGAAATACATTTTTTTTGCAGAATCAACCAAAGAGTACATGCTATATTTAAAAGGTGGACATTTCAGGAATTCAAAACATATTTTAATTATTAGAAATATATACATTCATGTACTCATTAACTGTTAACTTATTTTTTAAAACATGGTCATGAAAAATAATAGTGCCTAAAATTGAAATGTTATAGACATGTACTGTAGGTTGTTAAAAAATGAAATAAAGTGAACCTAATGGATAATGACATTTTTCATATTTATTGAGGTTAGGGACAGTATTATTTTATGTATCAATGTCTTACTTGTGAGTATCTAGCTTATTAGGTCCTCAAAAGGCAATGGTTGGAGAGACAGATAAAGGGTCTCACTGAAATAATTGTAAATGTGATTTCTCTTATACATCCAAAGGTCTTGATATTGGCTAATTTATAATACAGGGGTAATAATCTTAATGAAACAATAGATGTTAAATCTATAGATGCCAGTCTGGCTCAGTATTAATACTGACAGTAGTTTTTTGTTATTTAATAAAGCAAGTATATTAAAATATTTCTATTAGAAAAGATTACAATTGGAAAAGATCATTCTACCATCTTAAGACTAAAAAGCAATTTAAGGAAAAAAGAGGTACATCACAGAACCTATCTCATAGCTCAAATACTACCTCAATGAAAATTCTGTCTGTATTTGCTTTGTGTGCTCTGACAAACAAGGACAATGCTAACCACTGTATCTGTCCCTTGATGACTGTCCACCTCTCATCCCTTTTACCATGCTGTGTACCCAGTGGGCGCAGAATGATTATTCGTAATTGGTGTTGACTTTACAACTCTATGACATATATGACAGGATGCCAACTCACTTTTAAAACTCTACCTAACATATTCTAGTACTGGAAATATCTTACTTGAGATTTTAACACTAGTTAATATAGGAAAAACTTCTGCTAAAGCACCATTAACTTAAAAGTCTAACTTGATTTCTTCCTGCACTTTTTGAATTTAAGAAAAAGACAGATTTTCCAAATTCTGTTGTTGCACACAGTTTCACAGTTTAAAATAAAAATCACAGCTGTCTCATTATGGAGCATTCCTTGGTTTTGCAGAAAGTACTTTCTTTTCCCTTATCCATACCTCAAATATGTAATGCTATGTGCCTTGTTAATCTGAACTATATTTAAGACACACAAAAACATGTATGACCAATTCTGAATAACCTAGCATGATTTTCCCATAGTGCACACATACTATATCATCTGTTCTGGATAATTTAAAGATATTTAGCATTACTCTTTTTAATAGCTAAAAATTTAAGATATGCAGAAAAGCTGAAAATCCTAACATGTTTTTCATCATTCTTTTTTTTAATATTTGAGAGACAGTGTGGCTTTTGAGACTTTTTGTATGATTTTCATATCAGCAAGGAAATTGTAATTTGGCTTACACTTCAATATGCTTAAATGTATATCATGTCTGGATGTATCCTAGCTATCATCAGAATGACTTCCGAGTTACACAGATGTGCTATGTAGATCAGTCCTCAGAATGATAATTTTAAGAATGCCACTTAAAATGTCTCTGCCTATAGAAAAACTAAGAGTGGAGGGAGCATCAACAAATAACAGACAGGAATCGGAATCGGGCAGCTCAATTACCTAATTCATTCCAAAACAAAAGTTGACTCAAATCAGAATGAAATTGTGCCCTTGACAGAAAGAAAGTTACCTACTAATTTAAAAACTGTAAACATAATTTTTATATAGGGATGTAACTATCTGGATACATATATTGCCATTCCTCTGCTATATAATATTTCTTGACACCAACAGTAATGTGTTTGTTCCTTCCTCAGCACCAAATGTGTCCATATCTGTTTAAACAGTAGGATCATCATTTCTAAATTAATCTACACTAAAACACCTACAAGCATATTACCATTATGTTTCACTCAAGTTCCAGCACTTTAGAGGATAATCAGTTCAAAGCAATTTTGGCTCATTCTTCAAAATATTATTTTCCCTTTTGTATCAGAATTTCAAAAGGAACATAAGACATTTGTATTTCTTTGAAAGAGCCAATTGTGCAACTATGGAATTGAAACATTGTGTTAATTCACAAGTATTGTGAAGAAGTATTTTAAAACTTTCTAAATAATTCCGACTTAAATGTTCAAAATCCAGTTATTTGCTTTGTTGTAAAATAGTCCAAACAAAAATTCCTTTTTTGTTTTCTGTTCTCTTTTTTTTCAAAATATGTAGACCCTACTGAAGCTAATCTATTTTTTCCCACTTCAGAACACCAGGCACTGATTTATCCATTGGGAGTTGAGCTTGCTTTCTAATACCTAGATTAAGAAAACAAAATAGGAGAAGTTATGAACTGGGTACAATATCATGAATGAGTACAATAGATACATTTAAAGTCAACTTTAAAAAAATCTATGTAGCCATTTCCCTCCACCTGAGCAAAATTTATTTTGTGAAATTACCATTAATACATTATTTTAACAATTATTTGATAAAAGCATTTATGTCAAGAGCAGAGAATCTATGCTGATGCCTACAGTCTAGACATCTAACATCAAAGATATAACCCCTGAAACAATCAAAAGTGAAGCAGAACTCATGAGACCCATACCCTAACCAGGCAAATTTGTTCCATGGAACGAGAGTGGCACTCCACTAAGAAGCAGTCATGGCCTCTCACCATCTTGCATTCATCCTTATCCACATGGCTTTGGATGTTGAATGATTCGTTAACAGGCAGAGACTGGCTAAGTACAGTCGATCAGCTATTCTTTTATTCAAATGGTTATCATACATCACCATTTAAAGAGGTAAAAATGCACTTAAATCCAAACCATAAACTATCAATTTCCAAACAGTAAGTCTTGTGAGAAGAGAACTTAATCATTAGTTTATTAGAATCAAAAGTTGTCTGGAGTCACCAGGTCCATACATTTTGTTTTTAATGAGAAAATGAGGTGGGGGGTGGCACCTTCTTGGCACATACTTACTGGCTGCTTTTTACGTCAAACAGAATGCCCTCAAGAATGTGCTTGGCACAAATAACAACCAGTGAACTGACAGTGATATGTAATTAAATTTTAAAAAATAGTACAATAATGCCAGCATGGGAATCCCACACACAAAGCCACCAGGCTGACCACATGGCTTTAGGCAAATTCTACCTTTTGCTCAAAAAGTTCAAAAATTCCCCCATGGCCTCCAGAAAATAAAGTTCAAACTTCTTGCTCTCAGTGTTCCCTTTGATCTCGTCCCAAGTGATGTTTTTCTCCTTTTTACCCAACTCTTAACTCCATGACACTTATGCTCAGCCAAACTAGAAGACTTGCTTTTTGTAAATATGCCCTTCATCATCCTCTCGCCATGTAGCTGCCCGTAACAGGGCCTCCTCCCAAATGCTCTTCCCTTTTTTTTTTTATTGGTTGTTCAAAACATTACAAAGCTCTTGATATATCATATTTCATATATTAGATTCAAGTGGGTTATGAACTCCCATTTTTACCCATATACACATTGCAGAATCACATCGGTTACACATCCACATTTTTACATAATGCCATATTAGTAACTGTTGTATTCTGCTGCCTTTCCTATCCTCTACTATCCCCCCTCCCCTCCCTTCCCATCTTCTCTCTCTACCCCATCTACTGAAATTCATTTCTCTCCTTGTTTATTTTCCCATTCCCCTCACAACCTCTTATATGTAATTTTGTATAACAATGAGGGTCTCCTTCCATTTCCAAGCAATTTCCCTTTTCTTTCCCTTTCCCTCCCACCTCATGTCTCTGTTTAATGTTAATCATTTCCTCATGCTCTTCCTCCCTGCTCTGTCCTTAGTTGCTCTCATTATATCAAAGAAGACATTTGGCATTTGTTTTTTAGGGATTGGCTAGCTTCACTTAGCATAATCTGCTCTAGTGCCATCCATTTCCCTGCAAATTCCATGATTTTGTCATTTTTTAGTGCTGTGTAATACTCCATGGTGTATAAAT